ATGAAAAAACGCGAGCTTGTATAATTCCGAGAAGACGGAGATTTCGATTTGAAACCCTAATAATCGAAAACAGGACCCATGGATATAAATGCAGTAAAACTCGTAAATCACCAATCATCATACTGTCATCGTCACGAAACATCCGGATAGACTTTTTGAATATTATAATTTTGTATTTTTTTTTAAAAAAAAAGACGTAGTAATGTCATGTTGAGATTTTTCTATTTATGATAATATTATATAAGTATAGATCACGGATATCGTTTTCACATTTTTGGCTTTTTGCCCGAATTTGTTTTTAAAATGTGAAATTTTTAAACAAATTATTTTGGAATCGAACAAGAACCGGTATCGATGTTATTCAGTAACATCACTATTATAGTTAATCAATCAAAATCCGTCACAGTCAATCCTCAATTTTTTGTCTGGTTCTCTGGTCCGTAAAAACTGCCGTAACCCTTCATCTTAAATGATTATCGTACGGTAGCTAAATGAAAAATAGCGGTCATTAAAATGTTACGATTTTACAAAATCGAAGAATATTTTGAAAACCGTCTCCGACCCTCCACTATAAATTACTAATTTATCTCCGTACATTTTTAAAATCCTACAATACAGAATACAGATAAGTGCAACAATTAAGTATTTATATATATATATGTATACAATTTTATTCATCGGTCAAACAATTTAGTTTTACAATGACGTTTTTATATCGGCGTAAAATAAAGTTTATAACCTGTACTTAAATTCGTATTTTATCGTCCTGCGTATTACAATAAAAATAAAAATAAAAATAAAATGATTACTGCGTTTATTATAATCATATTTTTTTTTTCATTTTCCGGGTGACTATTTCAATTATAACCTATTACATTTTGTACAATTTCACATTCAGCGCGTTTTATACTGTGGTTTTTTTTTTTTTTTTTATAAAATTTCACCGTGGACTTATTGTTAATAATTTTTAGAAACGGGAACATATAACAAATACATAGAGCCATTTAAATTATATTTTTATACAACGAGATAAATAATTTCTAACGTGAAACGGTTGTAAACAAAGTTCAGTTAAATAGTAGCCTGTACAATAAACCTACGAAATTACGTTCATATTCTTTCTTTCTTTTTTTCCCCTTTTTTTGTCAACCAAGTACAACGTATGATACACTTCGTATCAAATGTTCGAGAACTTTTCTCAAGACAAAGTAATATTATCGTTGCGTACAAATATAAATTGAAAAACTCTTTTATGCGTCCTACCTTCTTCACTTCACATCTATAATATTGGCACACTCGTCAACAGTATCAACTATTTTTATTTGTTATAACCGTTTCGACTTCACGTGTACCTACAGTCTTTATGTGCAATCGAACGATTTTCACGAGAAAAGGGCTTTAGTTATAATTTTGGTCGTTATCGGTTTATATTTGGGTCAATTAAGTCTGTTCTCTGAAAAACTGTTTAGTGTACCACGTAGTCGTAAAAAAAAAAAATGTGCAGCAAGTTTTTTTTTTTTTTTTTTATTGGCATTGCAAATAATTAGTTGCAAAATAACGATATTGTTCGAGACGGTCGGCAACTTTAATTCACGACAGACAAATAGTTCATTTTACGTTATTCACGGTGATTATCTTTGTATTATTAGGTTCGTAAATCGCGATTTATTAGCGTCGTAATAAAATTATTTTGTTCGATACAAATTATTTAAATCGTGAGTGCGGTGCGTTTATACACTGTTTTCATTATGCTAATGACGCAATATATAAATAATACAATTCGAAATTGATAATCTCAGAAGTAGATTTTCATGAAGGTATATTTACGTAGGTATATAATATTATAATAAATTCGAGTGCGTGCAATTATTGCAGGTATTATACACGTGGGTACCTATACAATGTTCGTGTTCAAGAGAAAACTGCCGTTTGAATTTATTGGATGTTTAATTATTTTAATGAACTCGGATATAATATTCCTACATAGGTACCTACACGGAATACTTAATACGTGCTGCGGCGACTATTATGGTAGGTTAGGTTTAATAAAAACAAAAATAAAAGAGCTGATACTGGGAACGGATACGTTCACTGCTGTAAGTGAGCAGTCGGGAAGGTGGGATACATAAGGTTATTTAAATTATACCTGTAACCACTGATAAACCGTTGCTAACAAAAACCAATACGTAGCGAATTTCAGGTATACATGTTTTGAAAGCCGTAATATTATCGTAATATTTACGATTTTCATCAAAATTTAATTTTAAAACTTATATAAATAATAAACATTTTTCATTGCATTCAATTTTATGTTTTGAAACAAAATGCATTTGTTTTTTTCCCTAAAACCCGACGTGGTTTTGTAAACAATTTTTTTTGGAATTCGGGTTTGAACTTACGAGCCCTTGGTTGGCAACTGGTACCTACCACCACTAGACTACAACAGACATACTATAGTATTGACAATATTAAGTTATTTAACATATAGTATCAGAACTTCAAAAAGCTATAATTTCGAAATAAATAGTCAGTCCGCTCAGTTCTAATTTCACCGTCGTTCTTCTAAAAAAATATTTACCCGTATAAAAATTGGCAAATTTACCAGTAAATTATCATGGTAAAAATTTACTGAGCTTACATCTAAGTGCTTCACAAAAACGGGATGTTTTATCCATCCTTGATGATACTCAAAACGAGCTTGCTCAAAAATTATCCATGTGTTCAGTCGTGTATTTAGGATTTTGCTACGGAAAGAGATATTAAATTTGAAAAATGTGATTTAAAAATAATGTATTATTCTAGGTACTTTAAGATAAAAATCTAATCTAATATCCTTCAAATTTTAGTATATTAAATATTATAGGTATCGCTTTGAACAAGTAAATGTAAACGTTCAGGTTTTTTTGATAAATTAACTTTATTGATTTTCGGTAAGAACATTCAATTTTTTATTTTTCTGATTAAAAAGCATAGATAAGAAAATTTGAATGTAAAAATATGTAGGTGTATAAATAAAAGATTCTATGGGGAGATAAATCTTTCTAATCTCCGCTCGTAAGTACGCCACTGTGTATTATAGCCTCCGGTAGCATATTTTGGATTTTGTCAAAGGTTAGGTATTTGTAAGTTGTATTTTATATTATTATACAGGTAACGCATACCTAGGCTAAAAAACAAATTTTACATTTTTAACATACTTTTTTACACAAAACGTAACTTATTCCTGCGTGTGTTTTTTTTTTTTGCTTTAATTAATTAATTAATAACATAGTTAGTTGTTATTTGTATAAAGTTTTTGCATTCAAATTTAAAATAGTTATTTTGTTCAATATATTTTATTCAGTTGTTATTGTTACGAAATAAGTACTAATAAAGGAAATGTACATGCAACAATAATATCAAATATAATAATATATACTTTAGGGTGGCCCTTAGTTATAGAGGGGTGAAAAATTAATTTTTCTAATTTTCTCACCCTTCCATACTTTTTTTATCATAAAAAACTAAGTTGTGTTAAATTTGGTAATAGTAACTTACCCCCTTAACGTGCCGCAAGAGGTTTGAAAATTTTCAAACAGGGGGGTTTTAAAGTTTTTTGTACTCAATTCAAAAAATATTTCACTCAGCATAAAAATGTATAGAATTTTATTTAAAGATCTAAGCATTGTCTATAAAAAATATTCTTATAATATTTCTCCTAAATCCATTATGTTCTAAGATATTAGTTTAATATATATTTAATACTTATTAAATATAGATACTATATTTTATTATATCATGACTGTTTAACTTATATAAATATAATGCACATTGTTTGTATTATGATTTTATCTACTCTTATATTGTGTTATTTGGTTTTGGGAATTTCTACACCAAAGCTAACTGCTATCTTTCTTACCAAATTAAATCTACTTTAAGCTTTTTTTAGATTAGATAATTTTTTTTTTTTTGTAAATTAAAAATGTAGAAAATAATATAAGATTGGGATGTTGTAAATAATGTGTGCAAGCTTTATGCTGCGATACAACGGCATCTAACACAGGACGGTTAAATGGTGCCTTTATTACATTAGATAGGAAGAAATCTTTTATATTTAACGTGCCGAAGGCATATTTTCGAATTGGTGTTAAGAAGTGTATTCGAAGTAAAATTAAATCTAAACACAACTGATCTGGATTTTTCTATTTTTTAAAAAAAAAATGTCAACAGGCATTACCTCAAATTGATTTAACACAGTTTGTGATAGGAATAGATAACCTAGTTATACAATTTAGTATTGAAAGAAATAGATCTGAAATTATAAATTACTGGTTTCGCAAATATTGTAAGAATATTTTTTATATAAAATGCTTAGATCTTTGAACAAGATTCTACAAATTTGTATGCTAAGTGCAATATTTTTTGAATTAAGTAAAAAAAACTTTAAAACTACTCTGACAATTTTCAACCCTCTTAAAAGGGAAAGGGAAAAGGCGTGAGTTACTATCACCAAAATTAACAAAACTTTTATATGTTATAATAACAAAAAATATGGGAGGGTGAGAAATCAAAAAACTGAAAGTTCAAAAATAAGGGCCACCCTAATATACTTGCATTAAAAGAACTAAATTTTTATTGTTATAGTTAATATTTGTACATAACACTGAGTTATTATTATTTAATAAAAATATATTAAATCTTATATTTTATGTTATTTTTTCGGAAATAGTATGTTTAATAACATACTTTTTCCAAATTTAATGCAAGACATACTAATTTTTGAAAAGGTTGATTTTATAAAAAAAACAACTTTTTTAACTCTCAAAAAACCATAAAAGCGAATAAAATCATAAAATAGAAAAAAATGAATTTACAAACTATACCAGAATATTTTTTAATTTTTTTAATACCCTTAGGTGTAGTCTACACCAATTCAAAATACCCTAATTAGTAAACCTGCTCTACTGAAAAATAAGAAAAATGGAAAAAGTACGTCCTGCATTGAAGACTTTATTATTATTTTATATTTTAAATTCAGGAATATCTCCTCCTACTAGTACAGTTCTTACATTTTTTGAACTTTCATATGCGGTTATACCAATGCTAAATTTTTTTCCTGGTATGTGTCCACCAAATTTTGATGTTATACCGTCTTCATATGGTCTATACCGTCGAAAGTCTATACGTGGTTCAATTTTGGGGCCTGCGTTACGCACTGGTGGTAACTCTTCTTTTTTGACGATTTTCTTCTTTGTACTTTTTTTAATGTCGTTTCCTTTTTTAGCTTCAGATGACGTTATTATACGGAACCATTCTTCCTTCAATTTTTTCTATAAATATCTCATATAAAATTAAAATTCTGGCTATTCTGGCGATTTTCCAGTGGCGGATCAAAAGAGGAGAAATGTAAAAACTATTTATTCAAAAAAAATTATGAAAAAACCTGAATAACCGCCAGCAGTAGCGGTAAAATTTGATCATGCAGCATTTGCATTTATCAAAACCGCGACACGATATTTTATTTCAGCCATTTTACCGCTGCAGTGTATAGAATTCAATAAGAATACACTATAGTTCTATTAAACCGCTACCGCTACCACCACCGCTACCATTACCGCTACAGCGTCAGTGTGTGAGCACTTCAAAGCAATAAAACTGCCAAGAATCCAGATTAGCCGTTTTCGGATTGTGAAACGCGGGCTCTACGCCTTAGTCCACTACTTTTTATCCCCGTGATTTTATTTTCTCAAAAAATTTAAAAATTATATTTTTTCAACCATTATTTTATTAGTATGACTTTTTTTTAGAATTTAAGGAGATAAATTTAAAAAGTGAGATCTCAAGAAGACTTCACGACAAATTCAAATCCGTTTCCAGAATTAAAACACGTCTAAATCCCTATATCTCGCATGTGTAAGATAAAAACAGAAGAAACGCGTCACTTCCTATCCCCTTAAGACTATAATATTGTATTTTTTAGATATGACATTAAAATTTATTGCGCATATGATACAGGCGCGAACTGGCCCACTGGATTATCGTAAATTCCCCGATGGGCCCTTCTTTTTTTAACTTAAATGACATAGTGTAATATTCGTATTACCTGTTTTTCATATTCTTCGTCATATGCTTTATTCTTTTCTTTTTCCAGTCGACATTCCTCTTCGCTCATGGCTACTTTCACAGCGAACCTTGTAATAGGTACACAAATTGTATGTAATTGTTATAAAAGTCTAGATAAACATCGCAGTATACATAGGCCAATATTGAGAAATTTGGAAGGTATAATACTATAATAGGATATATAATAACTAGTGAATAACGAAAAAGAAAAAGCCGCGATTAATAATTTCAATCATAAACGATAATAAATGGAAATATAGGTGAAAATTGGTAAGGTTATTATACAGGTTATTATTATACAGTTATTATACTGTATATTTTACAGCTTACATATATTCGGTTGTAGCCACCAGTAGCGCACGCAGGACTTTTTTTCGGGAGGGGTTTTGTTTATAATAATTTCCTAGAAAAGATAGCACATATCATTAGAATAGCACTATCACTATTATAACTAAATAAATTATTCTTGATGAGATTAAATTTTATTTTATTCTGTGGTATACGATATTATTTTGTTAAATATAAAACTTGATTCAAAAAAATATTGATATTTCGGAGGGGGTTGTGACCCTCTAACCTCACATCCCTCTCTGTGTGCATTACTGGTGCCACAATTTAATCTAAAATTCAACAAAAATAAAACCAATGTATCGTCATTTGTTGTATACGACCGGTTTCGAATTTAAAATTCATCATCAGGTACATATATCACAGTCAAAATGTAAAACGTGACTCAAAAGTTTTGAGGACATTTTACTTAAACTTTATTTATTTACGACCATTTTAATAATTTTGTTTTTACTTTATTTTTATATTATAAAATATATTTTGAAGTATTAAGTACCTTACACCAACTGCATCCATCGTCTTTCGCACATGACCGCCGAAACCAGCAATTTGTTTATTACGTATTGGCTGTTCTTTGATAGGAAAAGTGCAATTAGTTATTTTAAAACAATTTGTTAGCATTATAATTTAATAAAAAATCTATTTCTTTTTTAAAAATAGTAATTTTTAATTTCGTTTTAATTACTAACAGTAATAATATTACCTACAACTTATAGCCTAGTAACGGCTAAAAAAGCCAAATAATATTTTTAATTCGAAAGATCTTTTACTGATTTAATTCCAAATTGAAATCTGAATCAATAGTTTTATAATTGTATATTATTTAAACAAGATACTTAAATATATTTATGAGCGTCTATCTACGATAATTCAGGACGGGGGCATTGTATTTTTTCAATAATATTTACCTTCCAGTTAACCAATCAACTGCTATATGTAAGTTTACGTAGGTATAAGACTGTATTCCTATTTCCTACAATAGTATCTATCATAATTATATAATTATTTATAAAATAACTAAGAGTAGGTAGGTAGTTCAATTTCTCATAAACTGAAAAAAACATAACAAAAATATTGCAATTAAAAAATAAATTAAAAAATGAGTTACATTAAAGTTTAGATTAGATTGATTAAATCTTAAAACAAGAACTGAAAATTACGTTTATTTTTTGAAAATCGGTCAACGCCATTTGGAATTAAATTAAATTCTTGAATTCTCTGTTTATGTACGCTAAGCATGCGTAATTCAGTTAGTCTCTGCTCCGTCATTGTAGACCTTCAATTGTACATGTCACAGGAGGCACGGTCATGTAAACGATGGTACACATTTTATTTGACGGAAAAGGTGATAGATTAAATATAATATAATATGTATAGATAACAAATAATATACAATCGTACACTTCGATAGATTCTATCATTGATTAAAATCGAGTATAAATCAATGGTTCTTCTTGTTCGCAACCGACGTAATCGCCTGTGCTATTTCGGTTTTTCAATTATGTCAACCAATGGGAAACCTCTAGTGAAAATAATCCTACCATATAATGTATATGATCATTGATTCTTAGTTTTTCATTTATTCAATATATATATATATGTATAAATTATAATAGTCTATGTATAAATGTATAACGTACACAGAAAAGCCGGGGGCCGGGGACATGTCGGTAAAATGCGAAAACCTGTTGGTGGTGAGCGGACGCACGATGAATATTGGATACGTCGGTGTTGGACGTTGCAGTGTATAAAATAGAAATTCCGAGATTATAGTTTTTTTTTTTTTTTTTATTTTGAATACCCCGGGTATAATAAGATTGAAAACAAAAATCCGTAATAAAATTGACGGATGCACGAAAAAAAAAAAAAAAAAAGCTGCATTGTTCCTGAAATGAAAACCAATTGTTTTTTTTTTATTATAATTATTTTTTTATTTATTAACGTAAAAAGTAATTCAGTGACATTTGCTGGACACTGACATTGTTTATAATGTATACAAAACGTTATTTACAATTGATTTTAATTTACATAATATTATATAATTTACAATTTAAGTTTTTTTTCTTCTTATTTGCATAATTTCAAAGTGCATAGCAGCAGCAGAAGCAGCAGCGTAGTGTCCATTGTTTCCGAAAACCCATTCGAGTTAATGAGAAAGTGATCATATACAATGTAAAATACAAAACTATTGCTACTAATATAAACTACGATAAATCCGAGAACAAGTTCTCGCCTGTTTTTACAATAAAAACTTAAAAATTATTCAAAAAGTCTGAAAAGTTTAATTTTCATTTTTAATATGTATAAGACGCGCTAAGTTTTAGATACGGTGAATAATAATATAATACACATTGACCAGCAATAGGACAATAACGCACAGAATACATTAACGTTATTTTTTTAATAATTTAAAATATACAATAATACATACCGAGTGAATTATTTTTTTTGAGAAAAAAAAAATTACTGTGGAACTTCATTAAAAACAGTCAAATCTTGTAAATACTTAAATAATGAAATGTGCCACAACCTTAATTGGATGACGACCTAAAACAGATCACGAAAAAAGCAAGAAAAATAGTCTAGACTTTCAAAAATTTGGCTAATTTGCTTAAAATTAAGAAAATTAGAATTGTATCCCAAGCTTTCTAGTAAAATCTATAAAAATTATTAATTACTATTACTATTAACTATATTACTATTAGTATTACTATTAAGGCGGCTGCCTACGATGCAACACTAAATCCGTAAAAAATAATACAAAATAGAAAAACACAAATTATTTTAAATTTATATCGAACAGAATATCAATACGAAGATTTTTAAAAAATTGTTTCAGGTCCTTCTCTCTCACATCCGTAAATCGTCCTAACGACTTCGGACCAACGTAATTTGTAGATAACCGATTTGTATTCATTTGTATCCCTTTTATAAAAATGTGTATCCCCTTCATTTAGGCGTAAAACGTCTCCTAGGCACCCGCAAGTGTTAAAAACCATCATATAAGACCGATGTCATTTTTTTGTACCCAATAAGTAGAAAAGTCCATAAAAAAAAAAATAATTGTTTTGTCCTTAATTCAGCCGTCGGTTTGTGAAACTATAACTTCAAAGTCAAATGTATCAGAAACAGATGAAAACATAGATCTACCTTTGAATAAGTTTACATAAGATACTTATGAGTTTTTTTATATAAGTAAATTGAACTTTTATAGAAGAAATTATGAGTCATACATTTTTAGGGTCAGGTTTTTAAAGTGAATATCTTTTTGACCGTGGACATTTTGAGGAAACTATATGCAGGGACATGAAGTTTGGTATTATAAGTAATAATCCTTGTAACGTTCCTTACTCCCCGAATAGTAGTGGAAATTTAAGACGATTTTTAGCTAATTACTACAATATCGATATAAAAACTGGTCTATAGCAACCCAACTAATAATGTAATTTCCATAAAAAAAAAAAAAAACTAACCAGAAACCGACTAATTTTTTTTTCGAAAATCGTTTATAAAACCAAAACCAACACCGGTTTTTTTTTTTTTTCTAAAGTATAAAAATCGGTCGCACGAAAACCACGCTGTTCCGGAGCCGTGTCGGGGACGCCTTACGAGACGCGTCACTTGAAAACGCGCGTTTCGTCGGGCGACGACGAAAGCGTGTGCAATCGCGTCCGGACTCCGCCGGAACCCGCCGTCTCGCCGTTCGAACGAAACCCCGGTCGCGGCCATCGGCGGTCCGGCGCGGCCATCGGCACTGTTCCGAAACCGCAACGGGTAGCGGCTACAACGACGGCGGCTACCCGTTGCGGTTTCGACGACGTTATCGCGCGTACCGTTTGTTTGAACATGTTAACGTCGTGTGTCGCGGCGAAACACGGGAAACAATACGTTACGCGGTTCGCGCGCGTGCCGTAGATAGATTAATGCCGCGATTGGCTGCTAAACGCGGGGCACGCGGCGACCGTTCGAATCAATCCACTCGCCGCGGCGACAGCGGCCGGCAGCCCGTCAAGTCTGTCACGCGCATTATGTTTTATGCGCCGCGCAGAGACGGACGCGCGGCGTACTATTTATTGCGGTACTTGCGTACGCGACGCGACCGTGTACGCCGATGAGTTTTGAATGAATTATTCATTTTTTTTTTTTTTATACACCGCGTCGTTTCGTTTCCTTTAATTCGTAGACGTAGGCGAGAGAGTAGTATACACGGGGGCAGCGGTACGCGCAACGGGGAAAAGGCCGGGCCCGGGTTTCGTGTTTTTTTCCGTGCGCGCGCGCGTACTTTGCCGGAAAACAACAACGGCGAATTAATCAAGTCGTTTCGCGAGGGGAGGCGGAGTGGCAGTAACCGCCGCGACAACGGCGCGCGTTCCGGCCCCGGACGCTTTGCGAAAACAACTCTACGGTATAGGCCCGTTTCTGTTTTAACACACACACACACAATTCCCGCCCCCCTCTCCCCGACCGCCGTAAGTTCACGCGAGTATTCATGACGGCGGCCCTTAAAATAAAAAAATAAAAATAAAAACCCATAAAAGTAAACCAAGAAAATATTTTGTTCTTTAACCTAACTAACAAACACAGAAATCGACAAGCACACAATAATATTATATTATTTAATTAATTAAACATATGAATACATAGGCCATACAGAAAATTAGTCTTTTTGTAAAAAAGACTAGGCTCTTCGCTATGGGGTAA